GACAAATAAAAGCTAAATCAAACCTTTTGCGCTGACCTTTTTGTGGCGGTAGCTTATTTTGTCAATCCTTTGGCTAACTAATTGCACAAAATAATTAAAGTGAGCGTAGTCCTCATAGGAAAAAGATCCCCTTGGATTCAAGTTTGTCATGCTGAAAACCTGGGAAAATTTTACTCCATCATATCAGTGTTACGCAGACATTCTCACTTGCAGAGTATCTGAACCTTCGGTGGCTTCCAGTTACCGGTAGAATGAAGTTCAGGATTCTTACCATGACGTAGAGACCTGTGGTTTGGTTCTGGCCTCCTGCTTTCACGGACTCATTGGGACCAGCTTCCACACATAATACTCCTGAGAAAACAGGACTGTGTCTGCTCCCTAGATATGCCATGTCCCTCATGCTTCTCCACTTAGCCAGGTCATGTCTCCTCTGACCCAGATGGTTACCTCACCTGGTTCCAGATGGTAAGATCCCACACACGTGCCGAGACCCAGGTCAGAACTTCATCTTCTGCGAGAATTTTTCTTGACTCCTAGGGAGACTCATTGTCCCCTTCTCCACGGTGCTGGATGCTTGTCTGGACAATAGAACTTATCCTATCATAATGCAATTAGCTGTGTTACTGTCTGTCTACTCCACCAGAAGGTAAATATCTTGAAGGCCAAGTGCAGGGACAATAGTTGTTTCTATCCTAATTTCCAGCATGCACTGTGATCAATCAAGGGATGAATGAGTGAATGAATGAATGACCTGCCTTTCCTAAGGACTGCTTTACCCAATGGGCGACCACGTAGAAATATCTGCGTGCTGCTCTGAGGGACCTTGCTACACAGTCACCTGGGATCACTCTTGTGATTCAAAGCACGGAGATGACACTAATTTCCATTGATAAAACAGAGTTTTAATTATTTTTCCTGTGTGACCATAAAAAGTCATGATACTTTCTCTTCATCCCCAAATTATTGTCCGTGGGGAGAGTCAATGAAACACGTGGGTGTGTTTTGTCTTCAGCAACTTCCTCAAGGTGATATTTCACATGTGAGTATCTGAAAGCACGATTGAGAGCGAATTGCTCACGGCCAAGGCATGCTGGATTGCGTAATTCCTAAATGGATGGGCAACACCTACCAGTGTATTCCAAACAATAGGTTTTGTGGGCTCTGACCACATTAATGGTGCTGATGGATGTTTTCCCTTCCAGGAAACTGAGATAATGAAAGAAATCATACAGAATGGACCGGTTCAAGGTAAGCTTGGAGGAAATATGACTGTGTCTTGTTTATTCCTTTCACGAACATTACATTTTAGCGCATGTAAAAGGAGCTCAATAAATGAAAGGAAATGTTTACTTTTAGAATATTCTTAGGGATTCAATCGTTCTAAGACTAACGTAATTATAGGTGATATGCTCCCCCGATAGCTTCATCAGCTGCCATTTTATTTGAGGGAGATAAACTCATTCACAAACTGATTTCTTCAATAAATTTTGATGATAACATCTGATGCAATTTTGCTAAACTCTATCCAAAGGGATCATGGACCAAACAGACATTCAGACATGAAATGCTAACTGATGAAGCTTGTTTAACTGTTTGGTTATATTTCAGAATCACATATAGTGTTGGACATTTTCTCACTTCAGTTTAAATGGATTAGGTAATGGACTGGAAAAAAAAATCAAGATTTAGTCCTAAAAACAAAGTAGACACTTTCCTTTTTCTATAAGCCCCCAATAAATCAAGTAAGCCACTGTGATTTTTATTTTTATAAAATGCTTTCCAGTTTGATCAGTTTTATAAATATGTTATGGATAGTATTAACAGTAAATAAGGAAATAATATATGGACTTTGCACTGATTTTGATATTAAGATATTATCTCTGATACGTATTTCCTCTGCTTACCTACTGGATTTTATTTTACACCAAGGGCATGAATAAAGATACATTCACAGTGTGTATTCTCTGTACTAAACATTGTCTTGAAATGCTTGGAAGAGCAAATCCAGTGAGGGCTAAAATAGAAATTCAGGGTGTAGACACTAAAAGGGCCAAAATATATTATCAATGCAGTGGAATTGATAAATCAAATAATTAGATTAAATAAACCAAAATTAAAACTAAAATAGTTGATATATACTAAGGAACTATTGGCCAATATATATTTGTGTTTTCCTGAATGCTGGCCTAATTAGTATTGGCTCAACATATAGCAAGAAGCACAGATTTTTCAATCGTGTTGGGAGGATTTTTATTGCTCTTTATCATCACTTAATATTTATTGAGAAATGAAAGCTTACTCTAAACATGTCCTGAATTTAACTGTTAAAATCCTGGGGCCTTACTCAAAACCTGAAACAGACAAAGAGAAAATATTTCTCTCCTTCCAGTTGTGTAATTTCTGATAAAAGAGTGGGGGAGGTTCATGCATAATTTAAGTGTATGCTTCATTAAGTGGAATTTGTGTGACAAATTCGAAGGAGCACAGGCGTTTGAGGTCAAGGCTGAATTTAAAATTCCATTTTTGACATTTGCTGCTGAAATGACTTTTGTCCAGTTATTTAAATCTCTCTGAATCTTCGAATCATTGTATTGCAGTTTCAAGTTTCTCTTTCTCGCTCTCTCTCTCATTCTTTTCATCAGTCAAAAGAAATCTGGATCATAATTATTTAAAATTGAGAACACCTTAGGTTTTTCTTATGGTCAAATACGTAAGTTTTCACGAATTACATAATGAATCAAATAGAGATATAATTTGAAACTAATAAAGTTGAAATTCCAATTATTCAACATCCATGTAACAAATGCTTGGTGAGAACCTTCCTCCTGCCAGCCTGAGCCAGGAGCATGAAACAGAGCTCACCATCCTACCCTCCTATGTGCGATGATTATGTGAAATAAGTTTGCTGCAGTTTTCCCAAAAGTTAAAATTGCACTGAGGTAGCTTAAGTAGTTACCTGTTGATGGGTTCACCAAGTCTGTTTTGGCATCAGGACCCAAAGGAAGGTCACCTTCAAGTTAATTGTGATGGCATCTCACCTACGTTTCTTTAGTTGGCAGTGTTTTTCCCCATTGAAGAGAATATTTTATTCGTGGTGCTTAGAGAGAGTGGAAAGGAGCTGAAAGGGTCAGTGGTTCCACAGAAAAGACAGCCCCTAGCAGCATCCTCAGACTTTTAGAGACACTGGTTGCCTCGTCTTGTTGTAGATGCAATGTAGTTTATCTGCACCTTGTTGCCTGGGTTAGCAAATAGCGTTTTCCCCTTTTCGGTACAAAAGCATGTGAAAGGCAATAGAATGCTGAATGAATAGCACTGTATGCCTTCTAAAACCTATAGAATTAAAAATGGGTTTAGGTGCTGGAAACAGAACAAAAGCAAAGATCTACAGAGAGTACAGTTAAATAAATTCCTTAAATCCTATAGGAATGTGCTTTTAAGTAAATAAAGAAGATTTAACCTCTGTTGAGAATATTTGGACAGCCTCAGAAAAGGCATGGAACATTAAAAAATAAAAAGTAAAAGGTGGGATACTGAAAAGCTATATTTGACTTTGGGGACAAAGGTTCACTTTAGGATCTATCAAATGCTAGTGACCTTAGTTTGTATTTTATTTAAAATGCACGTCAAAGTAAGGCAAGCATTGGGCACTGTAATCAAGGTCTACTTAACTAGTCCCAACTGAAAATATGTTCAATTCACGTCTTGTGGAGGAGAAGTTTAAAGCCTTCACCCTGAACTGCCCAAGTCCTTCAACAAAGCATCACACGATACAGAAAAGAAATGATCTCAGTGAGAGAACGAAGGGGCACTTTATAAAGTATAAGCTCTGATTTTCTAAAGAATGCACTCTTGGCTTAGCTCTCCAGAGCTGAGGGGATGCAGTCTTGCCAGAGCCTTCTTTTGCCAAGGGTTTGTTTTTTGTTCAAACCCACCAAGGGAAGTTTTGTATTTACGTCTAAGGATTAAGGACAATTACTCTGAGTGCTCTATGCTAGGTTTATCCTTTGCTGCTAGCTTAATTCGAGTTTTAAGAGGCTTGTGGAGAAGTCCAAGGTTAATGGAGAAATAGCGAACCCTAGCCAAGTGTATGGGCTTCCTGAAAGGGCTCAGTTCTGTCAATTAAGAATAGATACAAACTACTGTATATAAGAGAGATAAACAATAAGGACCGATGGTACAGCATAGGAAACTACATTCAATATCTTGTAATAACGTGTAATGGAAAAGAACATGAAAATAAATATGTATATATACACACATATATATATGACTGAATCACTATGCTGCACACCAGAAATTAACACAACATTGTAATCAATTATACTTCAATAAAAAACAAGAATAGATAGTGTTCTAAATGTACACAACGTATTTAAGTAATATTCTAAATAGCAAAAAATTGTCTTCATAAAAGAATAAGAAAATATTGCAGCCAATTAAATAGGAAAGAAATTAGGCTGAATTCCAAAATTCCTTCTTAGGGTCTACCCCTGGCAAGTTACTCAATGATTGTTCTGTGAGACTTTTTGGAGGTTTTTAAACACGATGGTTTAAAATCTGTGCCATTTATCCTGTTGGTTTTATTTTAGCCATAATGCAAGTCCATGAAGATTTCTTCAGTTATAAGACAGGGATATATAGACATGTTACCAGCCCAAGTGGAGAGTCAGAAAAATATCAAAAGCTTCGGACACATGCAGTCAAACTCACTGGGTAAGGCAATTTCTTAAAAATCTTCATTTAATGCTTTTGGAAAATAGAACTGAAAATAGAGTATGTAATGCACTTAGGTGCCTGAATTCCTCCTGATATGAGAGATTCTGATACAAATTAAAAATGATCAAAGCCTTGACACTCTTCAGTCATTATTTTAAAGTCCTACGAAAAAGTAACTCAATATTCTGGGAAAAGTAACCAAATCCTATCTCTCATGTGCTTGGGAATCCATCCTAAAAATCTGTTCTAAGGGCAAGGAAAATAGATTATTGGAGTAAATTCTACACATGGAATAATCAAGGAAAGGGTACAAACCCCAAAGTATGTTAGGATTTGGGGAGAAGGTTTGGAATGGATTTAGAATGGCAGAGATTAAGCAGGGAGAAAGGGTAGGGTCACCTTTCATTCAATGTAAAATTGTGTTTTTTAAAATATTTATGTGAGAATTTTGGAAATTCTATTTATTAAGTTTTTAAGTAAAATATATTCAGCTCTACAAGGGCAAGAAACAGGTTCAAAATTCGGCTGCATTTCAAGAGGAAGTCATCTCACAACAGACCCTACTCAGAGGGTGTGGTCACCTGAAATCACTTTCCCCAGCGCCTCCTCGATCTCATTCCGACTCTGCCCTGTCTTCAAGCTCTTTCTCCTAATGTCTCATTCCCCTTCAGATGAAATATTTCCTGTCCTTCCGGTGAGTACCTCAAAACCTTTCCCTTTTATCTTGAATCACCGGTACTTCCTCTTGGTGCTCTCACCTTGCATTATATTTCACCAAAGAGATGAAAGCAATCAGAAAAACGGCTCCCGGTATCACACATGCTCCCTGTCGGTTCCCACTCCTCCCTGTCCTCCCACTTCTCACATAGATGCATCTCCCCTGCTCTAATTTATACCCCTCTTGCCATTTTATAGACCTCAGACCGTCTCCGTGTTCAAGAATATGCAGAGGCAATATTCCCATTTTCTTCTCTGTAACCCATTTTATTTTTACTACCACACAAGCATGCCATTATTTCTTAGACATTTTGGAAAACAAACAAAAACAAAACAAAAACCCTTCCTCTCGTCTTCGCTTCCTCTACACTCCATGTGTGTTCTTTCCATCCAGTGAATTTCTAGCAAGATCTATCTGTTTTCATGTTCTTCAATTCCTCTCTGCTCATTTAAACCAAAAATCTTTTCAATGACTTTTTTCCTTCCTCCTCTTTTCAACAGCATCTGTTTCAAGGTTACCAATGACTTTTATATTTTCTGTCCATCTGTCAGCATCCAGACCTGCCCAACCCCTTCTCCTGCATTTTCTTTCCTGCCATGACTTTTTAAGACTCTTTGCTCTTCTTTTTCTTTTGTCTGTTCTTCTACACACCTTAGTGTGGGAGTGTCCTGGACTCAGCTCTTAGTCCTTTCTCCCTTCTATGCTCACTCATTTTCTGCTCAACTCATCAGTCTCTGAGCTCATCCTGGCTTTGGGTACCATCAAACCCCTGACACCAGCTAAATTTGTATCTGCAGCCCAGATCTGCTCCAGACCTCCAGACTTGTACTTCGCATGTCCTCCTTCACACCTCCACCTGGGTACCTCCTGGATGGCTTACATTCAACACTTTCAAAACTGAACTCCCTGTCTCTCCCCTCATACTTGCTGAACAGTATCAACCTTCTCCTTCTTAGATGATGACAATGCCATCCTTCCGTATGCTCTGACTACAAACCTTGGAATCATCCTCTGTTCGTCTCCTTGCAACTCACTTTCAAGATGTCAGAAACTCCGTTGGCTCTCCCAACTTATATCCAGAATCCAACCACCTTTCACCATCCAAACTATCAACATCCTTGCCTGAACCACCATTACCCATTGTTTTGTACGTGGGTTCATGGAGTAGCTTTTAACTGTTCCTCTCACATTTAAGTTTGTCCTGAAAAGTCTATTCTCAACAGAGAAGGCAGGGTGTTTCTTCAGTCAGATCTTGTTGCTTTGCTCCAAACCCTACAGTGCTTTCCATCTCCCTCAGGGTAAAAGCCAAGCTCCATACAGTGGCCTGCAAAGGCCAGCATGCTCTGAGGACTCCCCCGTCTGCCTGTCTACACCCCCATCAACTTTCTGATCTCAGTTTCTTTTCATCTGTACCCTGTTTATGGCCCTTTATGTCTCAGGAACCCACACACCAGAGCCCCTCCCTCTGCCTTCCCCACTCCTTTATGCAACGCCTGGTTCCTTGTCCTTGTGCCTCCGTGCAGTCTTTGCTCAGATCTCATCTTCTCAATGTGGCATCCCTGACTGTCCTGCTGAATATTGCTGCCTGCCCTCTGCTTCAGCTCCTCTGACCCCCTCACCTGACGTATTTAAATCTTTTCACAACAATGATCTCTTTCTAACACACTAATTTAATTAGCTTTTTCTGTTGAGTGTGTATTGTCTGCCTCCCCTACTAGAATGAAGCTGCATGAGAGCTAGTGTCTGTCTTATTCACTAATGTAGCCAAACCTCCAGATATGATGCACTTCATGCTTTTTCTATCTGAAACATGAACGTGTTTTAGCTTATTCTACATCAGTTCTTGTCTGACATCCATTTTTCCATGAGGCAACTCTGTTGAAAAATAGAGTGAGGAGAAGTTGGAGGGAAGAGCTGGGGCCCTCCTCAGCTTTGATTGGTTTCTAATTCTTGCACCTGTGCTCATCACATCAACTCTGCCCCTAGTTCAGAGCCCAGAGTTTGGTGGGATTCACAGTAAATCCCCTCCAGGTGCTAATCTTTGCCTTTTCTTTTGCATCACATTCTCCATCTTTCAACCATTGCCCTTGGTGGGTTGGCCAGGACTTCTGCAGCTCAATGGGCCCCCAGTGTGCTTTCTTCTTCAGCTGACCTCCTGGGATGGCAGGGTGGGATGGGAAGGGACTGCCACTCTGATCACTTTGCCCTGCTCATGGCTTTTGTTGGAAAGTGCATGAGGGGGTGTTTCTGGATCGTCTTATGTGCTTTTAAGGGGAAAATTTTTCCATTCAAGTCTGGAGAGGAAGGAGGAGGGCTGTGGTGAGCCTTGTTTCTCAGCATCTATTTTTGCTTTGATACAGAACAAAATGTGTTTTTTTTCTGTTATTCCTCAAAGTTGTGTTTTGGGGATTATGGCTATATGCCTGGTTTACTAAAGAAGAAAAGAAAGAGGTCTTGATTTTTAAAACTTGTTTTATTATGTTTTTCCACTCTTAATTGTTTAGTGACTTCTCAGGAAAGCAGATGGAATAAAAATGCCTCATACAGTCACTGTCACTGGGAACTCAGCTCCGCTTGAGTTCTGTTTCCCTTCAGTTTGAAAATCTTATTGCTTCTAAATCTCTCCTTCGTCTGCACGTTTCATTATCAATTTTTGTTTTCTCTAACAGCATCCATGATTTGGAAAAATTCTTCCCACACCCATGGTGATTGAAACGGTTTTTCCTGTCATTCAAAGATAGGAAATGTTACCATCCTGGAAATGGCAATGTGAATGTGGAGCCTTCCTTGGCTTATCAGAACTGTTCCTTTATCATCGCTGCCACGTATTTAGCCATGCTGGTCATGTTTTCTTTGCTCTGCTCCTACATTTGCTCATGCTGCGTTTGAGCAAGCTATGAATGTGTTTACATCTCATCACTCTGCAGTGTGTATATTTTCCTTGATCAGTGTGTCAGTTGCATGAATACGTTCACTTTTATAAACTCTAGAAACTTGAGGCATTTATAAATTTGCCTCACAGGTGTGACAACTAACAAGGCTAATTCTGCTAATGGGCAAATAACTTTTGGAGAATTTGTTATTTTTCAGAAATATTTTAGGTCCCTGGGCATTGTTCAATAATCCGGAGCAGTAGATTTTAATTCATTTCTCCATTAGTAATTCCTGATTTGGTAATTACTGTATTTAGAAAATTAATGCATTGGTGAATTAGAGAGTAATCAAATAGCCCAAGTGACTTAGTGTTCCTTATCGAAGAACTTAATATGCTTCTAAGAAGTACCTTACGAATTCATCGCAACAAATTCTGTTTGCTGTCCATTCCGTAGGAGACAGAGCTATTAGATTTAGCTTACTTGAACAAATGAATTTAAACTTCTGACAAATGCCCATCACTGGAGAATACAAGATTTAATATATACTCCTGCTGTTAAGGAGTTCAGGAATAAGGTAGAGACATTCACAACTGATTCTAGGGTAAAGTGATAAAAGCTATACATTTCCACATATATAAAGCACAGAAGAGTGGTAGGTAGATAAACACTTGTAATGTCTTTCTTGGCTCCTCATAATTTGATTGCACTCCTCTCTCTTCTCTTTCCAAAACCTCTGTCTATCGCCATGGTGGATACTATCATTATAAAAGCATTTAATTAAATTAAAAATGCCATATATTCTGAAATATGGCATTATTTTATTTTACAACAGTAAGGATAAAATATTACCAATTAAACTAAGAAACTCTATTGATTGTCAGATGGATTTCAATCTTAGAGATGTTAAAATGTGAGGGGGAAAAGTGTGTCATAATGAAAAAATAGATATGGTATTTAAGATTTCATCCTGGCCAGTATTTTTTATGCTCTGGTCCTGCTCTACATCTTCATATGTATTAGAGTTCGTTCTGTGTCCCTGGCCACCAAAGTTCTGAGCTTTCTTTAAACCCTGTCAGAAGTTTATAAAATAGTGCATTTATGTCATTTATTTTTGCATATGATTCTCAGGAATCACCACTATAACTTAAATGAAAAAAAAAAAACCAGTTAGCTATTTTAGAAAATTAAGGGCAGTAATTGGGGTAAAACCATTGTCAACTGTGCTCGTGGGACAGAATTTTATTGAGGATCTAGTCTATATGTTACAAAAGAGAAAAACAAAATCATTTCAGGATATAATGTTGCTATCGTTCAATAACGTTTTACATGTGAGTTTATTCAACAGACGTTTATTGAGTGCCTGGATGTTTCAGATGTTGTTTTAGATGCCAGGGATGTATCAG